TATCTTGTCTTGGCATGTAGCTTTTGGCACAATGAATTGCCAGATTTCTGACTCATGTGCTATTTTGTTGTAGGCTCTTGCTCCACAAATCAGGAGCAAACTCAGTTTAAGCCATTTGGATGTACAACTGAAACCAGAGATTTTCCTTTTAGGTATGATGGATAAACAGATGGAAAGGAACCATGGGAATTTATTTCTGTATATGATAACAGCAGCAAGACTTTTATATGCACAAAAATGGAAAGATTTACAAATGCCCACAGCTGAAGAATGGATAGTGAAACTAATGGAATTGGCGGAGATGGTGAAGCTGACTACTTCGATTAAAGAAAAGACATTGTCTAGCTTTGTTTCTATTTGGAAACCACTCCTGGACTTTTTACTTGAGACTCAAAAAAATGAAATTTTGATTTTGGGGTTTGATGACTGATTTATTCTATAACTACAGAAATACTTTGTATTAATCTATTTTATATTTTTTGCTGATACAGATTTATTTTGTAGCATTTTAAATATTAGAGTAAGAGTATTTTATATCTATGCCTATACCAAAGAAAGTCAGAAGTTACTTCTCTTCCGTATTTTCTTTCTTTTGCTATCTTCTTTCTTTTCCCTGATTTTTCTATATTTTATTCTTTACTGAAACTTAATAATGTTCTTGAAAAAAAAAGAAACTCAGTTTAAGCCACTAAAGTATTGCTTGAAGAGATGTAATTCTAAACTCTTTCTTATATATGTAATAATGTGGTTGTATTTGTCATTTTTAATTGCCTTAAAGAACAAAGAAATTAAAATGAAATATCCATATTAATTAGCAGCAAGTTATCTCCCCTCTTCTCAGTTTGGAGTCGGAATAGCAAATATGAGCATTGCTGAAGCTAAGCTTAAAAAAGAACAAATCACTCATGTTGGTTACAATTTCATGTTTTGTTTTGTCTTGTTTTTGTCCAAATCCTGGGCATAAATTCAGACCACCAAGAACTGATCTGAAAAACTCTTAGTCTGATAGGGAAACTCAGGAATACGTATATATGATCTATGACAGTAACAAACTAGGCAAATTCTTATTTCAAACTTTTTAACATCACAGCATGGATTATTTCTTTTGATTGCTGGTAGAACGTTACACTACAGCAATGTTAGCCCATTCATTCATTCATTCATTCATTCATTCATTCATTCATTCATTCATTTTAATTTCTATAGCCACCCATCTCAACCAAGTGATTCTGGGCGGCAAACAATCATGAAAACAGTTTTAAAAAGTACAATACAGCACAAAATAAATATATATGGCAGCCGAAAAAAATTATCCCATAATTATCAGTATAATTGTGACTCAAATGTTTATTTAAAGCAATGCAAGAAATTTGTTGTAAGCATTCTAATAGACCAACACCCATAATTATTCTCTTTGTTAGCATTTTTCTTCCCATGTTTAATTCATTTTTTCCATATTCTTTCTTTGGTCTTTTAATCTCCCTATTAATTATCTTGTCTTGGCATGTAGCTTTTGGCACAATGAATTGCCAGATTTCTGACTCATGTGCTGTTTTCCTGTAGGCTCTTGCTCCACAAATCCGGGAACCTAGTATGTATTTGAATCAGTGATTAAAAATGAGTAGCAACTGGTACTTCCCATAAAACCATACATCTACAGTATATTTCAAAGGGAAATGGTTTGTACAGTTGATGCAATTAATATTAATGCCAGATTATTTGTTCCAGTTTATCTTATTATTTTCATTTATAAATACAGTAGAACAGCTTCATTTAAGGATAGTCCAGGATTGTAATCAACAAAAAATTAGAGCAACTTTTATTTACCTAAGTGTATCAGATCAACATCTAAAGAATCTGGGCTTCAAATAAGCAGATATTCATATACAGCTTTGCTCTTTTTAGACTTCCTGCACTGAAATGAAACATCATGCTGTCCCTTTAAAATCCTTATTTTTAATGAAAACTAGATCCATTTTCCTCTAAAAATGGAGGTGAATTTTCACATATATTCATCATGTTGGTGTCATCCCTACTGCATACAACGCAGCCTATAGAAGCTTTTTGTTTTGAGCAAGTTGGCTGCTTTCAGTTCAGTCCAAGGCTTGATGTCTAAGAACCAGTTAAGGTAACAATAAACCATAAGGAGAATGTCTTCATTTACAGAGATAAAAGCCATAAGGAATATTAAACAAGGCAAACTAATTGATGAACAAGAATTATGACTTCAGAAATATTTAAAATAAATTCATCTTCTTTAAAAAAATCCTTACTGCACTGCAATGCTTTCTTTACATCATTCATTAGTTAGTATTATTATTTTTATTACAGTGTATGAGCATTAACTGCCATTATAAGTTCAGTCCCAAAGCCTACTAATTAGAGGAGGTAAAGGAAATAATTACCAAGGTATAGTTCAGTTGGAAACACTCTACTACTATTCTTTTAAAGCACATGAAGAACTATACGCTAGTAGAAAAACCCAAGTTCCTAGGTTCAGTTCCTGTTATATTTTCTAAAATGGTCTTCAGATAAAATGAAATACTTTTGACAGTATCAAGCAGGGTAAATCAGCTTTCTCCAGATGTGCTCATTACAATTTCCATCATCCTCAGCCAGCATGGGTAGAGATTGAGTAGAGATGCAGTAAACAACATTGGGCAAGGGACCAGCATTCTTCTTCAACAACCACAATAAAATATAATGATTTAGAATTAAGAACAAACCTTGGACACATATTCCTCTTTCTTCCTTTTCATGAGAGTGTTAAGAGCTTTCATTTCTTTTCCTTAGCTAACTGCAATTTAGCATTGTGTCAAATATGGACAAACCATTATTAATTGTTTATTGAAATAGCCAACCTTCAAACCATGATGCATGAAGTTGGCTTGATTTCCTAAACCATAGTCATGATTAGCTATAGTTGAAAGCATAGTATAATACTGAAATATTGTTGAAAAGGTCAGTTACATAAAAAGATATGACAGAACCTTTCTCATACTCATTAATACAGAACCACAGTTTTATCGGGTTTTGTCTGAACCAGGCAATTTAAGGCAGTTGTTCTTCTACCAAAAATAAGAGGAAAGGGGAAAAAGTTTGTGCTTGACATTTCAGTAAATACAAGAAAATAATTTTGCTGACTTTCTTAGGCAGCACAGCTCCCTAGTCTAATATGTCATTCCAGAGAAATGACTGCATATTTGAATAGTACACAGAACTCTTGTCATAAATGAGCCTCAATGACTATAAATAACAATGTGGTACAAAATTTGCTCCAAAATATTATAGCAACCACACCCTTGCAAGGAACTGGGTCCTGACATCCCCAATTCATTCAACTTCACTTTTATTGACTTATATTAATTAATTGAAATGCTGATATAATTTCAGTTGACTGAAGAAAATAAATTCTTACTTTTGGTTTAGCCAACTCCTTAATCTTTTCTATTTCCTCATCAGATAAGACTTCATAATATCTGACAATGTGTGGGCTGTCCCATTCATCTTCTTCTTTAAAAGGTGCTATAATTAAGTAGGGATTTCGATTTCCATTGTGGTATCTGCAAAACAACCTCTTCTGTCTTCGAGGCGTCTATGAATATATCCAGATAAATAGAATATTTTAGTTCTTGAATTTAGGTAAACAATATTTGCCTTATAACTACAGGGAAAAATAACAGTCTAAATAT